GTTTACGCTCTCACAACTCGGACATGCCAGGCGATTCACGGTGCGAAGTCGGCGTGAAACAGAAGCACGTATCCCCAGACAGCAAAGAAGCCAAGGCATAGAGTTTAGGGTTTCGAGTTGGGGTTAAGCAGAACTTTGGGGTTTTCATACAGTTGAGAGGGTTCATGACATGAGGATCTTGCAGCAGGTGCCCGGAAGCCGAGTAAAACTCCAACCTGCATGGCCACCGCGAGCCCGAAGGCAAACCAAGGACATAGAGTGCACAACTCTCTGTGTTGCTGAAACCGAGATCTGGCAGCCCTCTCCGAAACCAGCAGAAACGCGCCAGCTGCGATCACGTGAAGCAGTACGCAATGCATGGATGTATGTATTTCTGACTCCCGGTCAAACCACCGCAAAGCCAATCGCAAGTGCCCTAAACCCCTAAAGCCCCCTAAACCCCTAAACAAACCCCTACACCCCCCAAAAACCCTAAGCCCCCAAAGCCCTGCCATCAGCTCGGTGTACTTGTTGACGAGCAGTTTGGTCAGCATGGATCGCCTCGTCAAGGCGCCCGAGACTTTTTCGACTCCCTTTTTGATGCTAAGGGGAGGTCATGTCTTCAATGGGTTTCGGGCTTTTTTGAGAGAGATTCGGTGTTCACTGAGTTGAGGGTTTTGGTTTGGGGTTTAGGATTTAGGGCTGTCTTCCAGTGTTTCGGGTTTTTTGGGTTTGAATGTATTTGAATGCTAAGGAAATGGGGTCTAGGATTTAGAGTTTAGGATCTCGTTTCTTTCCCTCCCACTAGGGTTTAGGGTTTCCTAGGGTTCAGGGTTGTCTTCACTGCATCCCGCTTCTCTTATGTGGTTCTATCGAGCTTCGCAATGAGGTCCTTGTATGTCCTTGTCACTGGGATGTGCCTGTACTATCATGCGCCGAATAGGCAGCGGGAGTTCTGAAGTGCCATGATCGTGTTTGCAGGCTGCCTGTGCCCAAAAGATCTTAGGCACTTCGTGACACACGACAACATTTGAGCAACTTGGGCCGGAACGAACCAACCTAGATCGACGTCGACCCGCGTAGTCTACACTAGAGCCCTAGAGCCATGGGTTGGTTCGGGTTCAGTTATCAGCTTCACTAACGGAGGGCCTCCGATGACCTTCAATTAGACCCTAATTAAGCCCTACCTTAACCTACCAAAAGCCATGTTTTTGTAGGTTCTTATTATAAACCCTAATATGGGATTTATATGGACCCTACAAAAAGTAGGTTTTTGGGGGGTTAAGGTAGAACCTTACAGCCCTAAAAACCTGAACCCCGCAGATGCAAAACAAAGCCCAGGAGAATCCGCGCTTCGACTCTTAAGCAGCTTACAAGGCCTTGTAAGGAATCCCAAAATACTTGGGGCCCTATAAGATTAAATACAGGGGCTAATTCAGTTACATGACTATATAACCCCCGAAATAGTGTTGGCAATGATTTAGGCCCCCATGTTAAATATGATATCGTGGTGAAACTTTTACGCCTTCACAACTCGGACAAGCCAAGTTAAGTCTAAAAGGTTATTTAAACAGGCTTCATGAGGTCAGTAGGTCGCAGCTGAAACAGAAGCTTCGCAAAGGGAAACATCGAACTCGAGCTTCCCCACGTCTCCTCTGCAGATTTGAAGAGCTGTTCCGTGCTGCAACAGATCCCAGGGGCCTAGAGAACTCTGTCAACACCGTAGAACACCCCCGTAGAACACCCTATATCAATCCTCCTCAACATCTACATGCCCACTGTCGAACCCTAAACCTTAAGCATTGCCCACTGTCGAACCCTAAACCTTAAGCATCCCTAAGCCCTTTTGAACCCCCCTACTGCACCAGCCCCCTGGGGTTTCTCACGCGTGGATCCACTTGTAGATCAGCTGGTCGTGCACCCGGGCAGAGCTCGCCTCGGAAAGCAAAGCCCGAACTCTCCGGCTTCTTGCGGGGGGTTTAAGGGTTTAGGCTTTAGAGGGGCTACAGGGTTTAGGGTTCTTTGGGGGGTTTAAGGGTTTAGGCTTTAGGGGGGCTACAGGGTTTAGGGTTCTTTGGGGGGGTTTAGGGTTTAGGCTTTAGAGGGGCTACAGGGTGAGGGTTCTTTTGGGGGGTTTAAGGTTTAGGCTTTAGAGGGGTTAAAGGGTTTAGGGTTTTTGAGAAGCCATAGTCGGAACCAACAAAAAGGACGTTGCGCTTCCGTGCCACTTGGGTTTGTCAAAAACGCCCAGTCACGAAATCCTTCCCTGTCAATCCCTGTTTGAAAACTTATCGTTCTACATTGTATTCCTGATCGTCTTACAAACCCCCGAGCTATGTTTAGCTAGATCGTCACAATGAATGCTATACGAATGCTTGCCTCAGTCCTTGTACATAGCTCCTCGGCATCTAATTGAGGACGGGGACTCGAGCCTGGGTACTAGCGGGACAAGAAAGTTCAGGGCTAGGGGAAGGGGATGGTCGCAGCAGAAATCCGAGAGGGAAGGGGTTTAAGGAAGGCCTTGTTTCGATCTTGACGCTAGCTATCGTTTACAACTGGCTGTATACAAAGATGGTCTACTCCCGGCAACTGGCGAACCGGAACCCAAAAGCCCGAATCCTGGGTCGAGGGGGTCCAGCGTTTTGGGTTGACGCTCTCAGCTTCGTCTGCAGGGGCTTTAGCACTGCAGGGGCTGTTCGTTCCCATCTTGCGCCTGTGGATCTTCTGGGCCTCGGGGGCCTTTGGAAGGAACCTGAGCGTTACATGTTGCAAACTCGACCTATGTGGAGAGGCTCTAGAGATGCTCCTGAGCCGTGACATTCAGCCCCGCGTGCCTGGAATGTGAACTTCGTGCCTAACATCTCCAGGCGAAGGCTCGTGGCTTCAGAGACCACGGACCTGAGCCAGTTGTGCCTTACTGGTTAGTGTAGAGCAATAAGGAAGGACCGCACTTCCCTGGCAGCTATCGGATGTGCAGAAGACTGGCTCGCAACTACAGGTTATAGGGTGTCAATGTTCATCAAACTGTGATCTCAGGTTGGGGATGTCTCTGTATTTTCGAGATACGGGAGTGCTGCTTTGTGGTGTTGATGCAGTCTGCCTACTCTGCGCGTACAAGCTGGCACTACAGTGAGCCCCGAAAAGTTGGAAGCTGGGAAATGGAACGGTTGGTCCGGAATCTGATATTCCAATTTTGTGCTTTTGCTAAGAAGGCTTCCCCGCACTCACGGCGAGATCACAAACGCCCTTGATCTTCCAACTTTGATTGTTTGTAGGCATCTCTTGCCCCCTGCGGATGCATACCCACACCTTTGTAAAGGGATGGCCAGAAAGCAAGAAATGCTTCCTTATATTTCATGTAGTTGTCCAGGAGCACTCGGGAATTGGCGGGCCTCTAATTGGCAATCTATAGTTTGGGATTGCAAAAATTGGAAGATGGCAAATTGGAAGAATTCCAAAGTTCCAACTTTCCGACTTTCACCATAACGAGGCAAAGTGCTGGCATTGCTGCAGTTGAGACTTTCGCTTCAGAAAAAATTCCTCATCGAGATCAGCCACGTTAGATTGACCAGTTACACTAGTTATCCGATGGCCCCGGCGAAGCTACTGCTCCAGTCCACCCTCCGTGAAACCACGGGTTCCCGGACTGCTTTGGTATTCCCAAGGCAAAGAACCCGAGACCTATCAGAGGTGTACCTGGCCAAGACCTGAGTCCAAGGGGCGGGTAGTTGCAGTACCACCAGCATCCCCACAAGTGGAGGTTCCGGAACTTCGTGGCCAGAACTGCTGCCTACATGGGCTGTCACCACTCTCTGCCTCACACCCTCTGTCCTCACCGTCCATCATATTTCGACCACACAAACCAATCCACAAGCCAACGGTGAACGCTTGGAAACCCCAAAACGGTTACCGTTGGCGATGGAGAGTATAGATGAGGCGCTTGAAGTTCAATTACGCCGACTTCACGGGAGATACTGTGGAAGATCGACATTACAAAAGACTTTCGGCACGACTCGCTGCTGTTGCTACTTTTGCGCTTGACGGAGCTTGTTATAACCCCGAATTACACCAGAAGTACACTTCAGACAAGATCTCAAAAATGATTGAGCCCTGAGGTCACGGACATCTAGCTTCCTGCGAGCTCTCAGCAATGCAGCAACAGCCTTGCATTCCTGCTCCCGCAGCACACTGCTCATAAAAGTGCATGCAAAGCACTCTTGAAGCACATCAGAACGCAAGCCCGCAGCAAGGTTGTCCCTGTTTGGAAATCGACTCCAGGAGAGATAAGCACTTGCTAAACGCTTGCTTTGCGGTGCTTGTACAGTAGAATCCAAGTCTGCATCCGCACACTTCCAAATCCGAATTGTCAGGAACTCTTTAAATGCTGTGTAAATTACAAACCCCCGCTGCCTCGTGCTGATCTGTGCGGCTGAGAACCGTAAACAGAAATTTCACGTCTGGGTTGGCCTCGCAAAGGTGTCCTGGCTCGAAAAGGGGAGGAGCGACCCCTGTATGTAGGCATATACATACATATATATATATACACATATGTATCTACAAGTCATATAAACCGAAAATTTGATGATAGTGCTAATAAAACTAGCAAAAAATATGCATGTATGTATGTATGTATATTTATGTACATGTACATATACATATACATATACATATATACACACACATATATATATATATATGTGTGCGTATATGTATATGTATATGTATATGTATATGTATATGTATATGTATATGTATATGTATATGTATATGTTCATGTATATGTATATGTATATGTGTATGTATATGTATTCGTATAAGAATATGTACATGTACAAGTACATGTATATGCAGATGTATGTGTATGTATGAGTGTGTATGTGTGTGTCTGTATGAATGTCTGTCTGTCTGTCTGTCTGTCTGTATGTATGTATGTATTTATGCATAAATATATATATATATACATATATATATATGTGTGTATATATATACACGAACCCCCCAAACATAAAGGCAAGTGTGCCATGCACAAGCTGGGCATTCAGGTTTTGCCTTCACCCGGCATGATGGCGATCATGGGCGGTAAGGTGGCCATGTTGAGCGTTGGATCGGAGGACATGCTCGCATACTACATGGCAAATGCGTTCGCGACTGGCTTTAAGAAGTCGCTGGCCTTTCAGCTGCGCGGCATCAAGCAGAACAGAGGCCCGTCATGCGAGGGCATGTGGACCACCAAACGGCAACCTGGCAGCTCATGCACGTCACCCGATGTGATGGCGTTTATGGGCTCGAAGGACATGCTGTGCAGGGTGGCCATATTGAACATAGGTTTGGGGGACACGCTCATGCAATTCACCATAGAGCAGTCTGCGACTGGCTTCAAAGAGTCGCTGGTTTGCGAGCCGCACGGCATCAAGCAGAGCAGAAGCTCGTCAGGCGAGGGCATCTGGATCACCAAACGGCAACATGGCAGCTCATGCACTTCACCCGACGTGGAGTCGTTGATGGGCTCGAAGGACACATTCTGCAAGGTGGTCATGTTGAACATAGGTTTGGAGGACATGCTCGCACACTTCACCGCAGCGCCCGGCTTCAAGAAGATGCTGGCTTTCCAGCCGCGTGGCATCAAGCAGAGCAGACAGGCGAGGGCATCTGGATCACCACAAGGTTTGGAGGACACACTCACACACTTCACCATGGAGGAGTCTGCGGCGGGCTTCAAGAGGATGTTGGCTCCCCAGATGCGCGGCATCAAGCAGAGCAGAGGCTCGACAAGTGAGTGATGCTCGAGCGCTTTATATTTGAGTGTGGAGGTCTTATGGCCTTCATGCTATTGTTGAGTTTGATGTCCCGATATCACCTCGATGAAGGTGTTTAGACATCCTGGGTATTTCACCATGGGATGGCCTCATCTGATATCCACGAGGAAGATCCTGCACTACTTAGGCCCGATATGTGGATCGCATACCGTCTGGTGCTTTGATCGCCGACTACGGAATGCATAGCATCCTTGTTTGCCGTGCATGTTAACGCATCGTCCATGTGCCATCTTTTGATTTTGTTGTGGGGATGGGAGAGCTTTTCCGCGTGCTGGTTACATCCCACCCCTGTCTGGTGAGCGCATACTCTATGTTTAGAGATTTCTGCGCCACCTCCCACGTTAACTACTGCACGTCTTAGGCTGCGTCCGACCTGGACTCCGTGCCCTGAAAGTGAAAGTGATGTATGTATGTATGTATGT